AAACTGCAGGCCGCTCCTTTCTGCATCAGTCTTTATCACATGGGCAGGTCCCTCATTGGCAAGTTGCCAGAAGAAGGAACACATATCACACCCTCTCAACTGATCGCATCAAATTAGGTCACTGAAGGACGGTAGGTAGAGGAGAGAAACAAGGGGATGAACTCTTTGAGCGTCAGAGGTTTTTTCTAAAACCCTCAATTTTGACATTTTCATTTTAAAAGGCTATAACTTAAAAGGCTTTCTGTAGATTAGAAAATTATTAAAGATGGCCCAAATTGTATGTAGGGAATAAGTTAACTCATCTAATTTTCATATTATGTCGTCATATGGCGTTGGAAATTGTGGATTTTAGAATTTACATAAAATATTTTATAACTGACAGTTATATAAATCACTAGGACATGAACACACACAGATAACTCACACTGTAACATGCTAAATGTTCAAGGAAATAGTAAAAACGCGCGCCTCCAGGTGAAGCGTGCGCCTGAATATCACCGCGACTCTCTTGCTGCTGTCTCCCCTGCTCTCTCTCTTCTCCCCTGCTCTCTCTCTAACAAAAACAAGACAAACTGAAACGCAGACAAATAACCAAAAATAAGCACAACATTAATGACATTCAAATGCATATATTTATATACTTTTTTGTTTGTTTGTTGTTCTTGTTGAATGTTGATGTGTCTGTCTGTTTTATTGTCATTAATAAAGAAAAGATATATCGTGCAGCCCTACTTGAAACACTGAAAACCGGGGCTGGCAGATCTACTGATGAGCAACTAATTCATAAATCTCCAGTGAGATTAGACGTAAGCCTCACCTGAGAGAAGTCACCACATTATTAAACAGATCAGTGGTTCTCAAACTTTTTACACCAAGTACCACCTCAGAAAATACTTGCCTCTCCAAGTACCACCACAAATGACCAACACCACACAGTAGCGTAGTAAGTATTCATCAAAAACAAAGGCAGAGGTTTCATTCCTAAAGAAGTATATTTAATGTTGTCAGCCATTGTAACATTTTACACAGTTTCAACAGTAAGACTTGAATATAGAAAAAAAAACTGTACTTAAAAAATGAACAACTAAAATGTTCAATTCATTACGAACTGCAAATCCTTGACTCACCACTGTGAAGTATATTCTGGAGTTGGATGGCCTTCTTTGTCCACAGAAGGTTTGGACACAGGTTCACTTTTGTTTCTAAGGCTTGGTCTGCTGCCATCTTACATTTGTCGTTTACTCACACAGACACATGTTCATATGGTTTGGATCGAATGATTTGTTGTTGCTCTCTGTTCCTTTTGCCCAGAACTGGGAAAAAAAAGCCTTTGTATTGCGCCGCTCAGGATTTTTTTGGCCGATCACCGATCACCAGCCTTAAAATTTTGATCGGCCGATACCGATCATTGCCGATCCGATCAAATATTGAAAATATTAGTGATGAATGAATAGGACAAGTTATTCACTTTATAACTAATCTTTCAAAACCATCAAGGTACTAGGTAGTATTAAAAAAATGCCTATAGGGGTACTCAAGACAAAAAGGTTGGGAACCACAAGTATACAGTGCATTGAGATACATAAAAAAAAAAAATGCAATGAAATACAGCAATACTTTCTATGCTGCATTTCCAAACTGATTAAGAAGAGATAGTTAAGGCAATGTTTTTTCTTCAGTAATATTAGCGTCTCAGCATTTGCAGGGGTTTATTACGTTTATCATCCTGAATAGTCCCGCTGTGCTAAACTCTCACTGTCTACACTTGTGCATTGAGCGCAGAGGAAAGACGCTGCTTTGGCCAATGCAGGGAAGCGCCTTTTATTTTCCTTCCAACAAGCGGCTGTCTGCTCCAATGCGCAACTATTTAGTAAGTAACGCTGAATCTGCAACACTGTAGGACTGTCTGTATAACCACTACACTAATCTTACTTTAATATTTCTGTGAACATAACATGCAAACTCCTGACACGGGGTGTTTCTGCCTGACGCAGCGCCTCGCTGCTGAGTGTGTTTGGTGTGTGTGCTGCTGTGCCTGCGCGGTGTGACTCTGGCTCATTTTTATAATAGATCCATGCTCTGGAGTGTCAATGTGAGAATATACAGTTTGGTAAAGCTGCATGAGTTGCTTGTATACGCAGTTTTGACGAGAGAACGTAACTTGTGCGCATGAATCCTCATGTAATCTGATCGGTCTATGTGATCGGCACATTTCCCCGATCACGCAAATTAAGCCGTGATCGACCGATTATAGTCGGCTACCGATCGATCGGTGCACCTCTAGTATTTGCTGTTCCTTCTACATGGAACGTGTTGCAAAAAGACTGGAAATTGAGAGCACTTGAGACATCAATGTAAAAGTAACTGTTTTTATAATCAGTAATTTTATTAAATTGTATGTGACTGTTTTATAATCTGTAATTGTATGTAATTTTTGTACAGGACTCCCTTGAAAAAGAGGTTCTTAATCTCAATGGGACTTTCCTGATGGAATTATTATTATCATTTTTATTTTTCCCATTTATTTCAGTGATTCTTTGGCAAACCACTAAAGGGAGCCACACTTTGAGAACCACTGAAAAAGATCATGCGTTGAACAAAGATAGATGTTCAAGGTTTTCCACAGAAAAAAAGTTTGTCCAGATCTCTAAAACAAATAGAGAAACAAATAGACCCAAATCAATCAGCTAATTTCTTATTTTTTGTGCAATACATTTTTTATTTAAACTTCATCATCATGTTTTAAAACAGGGGTACTGTTCTTGAGTCTTTTATATGGATTAACAATGGCTTGTACACTCATCTGTACAAGATGCAAAGCACTGCACAACACATGAACAAACCAGAAAGTTCTTTCTTTCCCAAGCGTTTCCCTTCACTAAGAACGTGTATGTGGAAACCATAAGTATTGTGTGTAATGTCAAAGGGGGTAGGCCTTAATAAGCTTTGCTTCCGCCTACTCCTTTTGGGCATCATTTTATATTTGTACATTTATTTACTTTATTTAATGTTTATTATCTCTCACTTTACTTGCCATGCTGATCTATTCCTCAATGTCCACCTTGTGAAACAAAGATGCTCAAATAAAGACAAACAAAAAAACAAACGAATGTTTGAGTGGCACATATCGTGAGCCTATGTAGGGAAGGAGAGTGTGCAGGGAAACACTTACACACACACAGATGTGCAGCTGTGCTGGTGTGGAACAGGCTATTGATGGGTAGGGCAGTTGCGATAAAGGATAACGATGTAAGAAACAACACTATAAATTGTAGTACTGACTGAACATGGCGTGCCAAATATGGGGTAAGGTATGTGCATTCTGGCTCTGGGATTTGGTTTGTTGCTGCCCTTGCGCTTGCTGCGTCGTGATTGGCTGGGGTTCATTATGCTGCGTTGTAATTGGCATAGGTCATTGTGCTGCGTCGTGATTGGCCCCACAACCCGGCAACCGATGAAGCGGAAAAAAATGGATGGTTGGTGATTGGCTGGTTCCATTGTGCTGCATCATGATTAGGTTATTGTGCTGTGTCGTGATTGGCTGGGGACATTGTGCTGTGTTGTGATTGGCTGGAGACATTGTGCTGTGTTGTGATTGGCTGGGGACATTGTGCTGTGTTGTGATTGGCTGGGGACATTGTGCTGTGTCGTGATTGGCTGGAGACATTGTGCTGTGTTGTGATTGGCTGGAGACATTGTGCTGTGTTGTGATTGGCTGGGGACATTGTGCTGTGTTGTGATTGGCTGGAGACATTGTCCTGTGGTGTGATTGGCTGTGGACATTGTGCTGTGTCGTGATTGGCTGGGGACATTGTGCTGTGTTGTGATTGGCTGGAGACATTGTGCTGTGTTGTGATTGGATGGGGACATTGTGCTGTGTTGTGATTGGCTGGGGACAGTGTGCTGTGTTGTGATTGGATGGGGACATTGTGCTGTGTTGTGATTGGCTGGGGACATTGTGCTGTGTCGTAATTGGCTGGGGACATTGTGCTGTGTTGTGATTGGCTGGGGACATTGTGCTGTGTCGTAATTGGCTGGGGACATTGTGCTGTGTTGTGATTGGCTGGAGACATTGTGCTGTGTTGTGATTGGATGGGGACATTGTGCTGTGTTGTGATTGGCTGGGGACAGTGTGCTGTGTTGTGATTGGCTGGGGACATTGTGCTGTGTTGTGATTGGATGGGGACATTGTGCTGCTTATTGCACATTGCTCTGCAACAGGCTTCAAACAAAAGGATGTAAATATGATATTCACAGGGTGAGATTTTTCTTCCTCCCACTCCTTTTCAAGATTAATCATGTACATAATTCTAATTCTTAAAGAATGATATGTTGGAAAATTCTATGTTCTGAGATTTAATTATGATGTCTGATGTGCATTTAACTCGAAATAAATAAACACTCAACTCAACTGAACACGGGACATTGTACAGGCCATCTTCAGCGGTCTATGGAGGTGCAGAAGCATGCACAGACACGCTGGTTGGAGGGGAGTGAAATGATTGATACTTACATATTTATGTTACCATAATTTAAAAGAACATTGACACGATGTGTTAATGCAGCTTTGTTCACAGCCCTAATATATATTGTTTTAATATATATTATACAATCTCTTTTTGTTGTTTAGAAAATTGTTTGCCCAGTATATTGGGCCAATATTTTGTGTTTTATATACACTCACCGGCCACTTTATTAGGTACACCTATCCAACAGTGGGTAAAAATGCCTTGTTGATGTCAGAGTTGAATGGCCAGACTGGTTTGAGCTGATAGAATCATTAAAAACCATATAATATGATGTCTCAGGCAGTGGAACTTGCAAAATTGCAGGGTGTGCAAATACTTGTGGACCTCACTGTGTGCCTGTAAAATGCCTTTTGTTTGTTTTATAAATATTATTGTAAATAAATAAATAAATGAATGATATACGTTGTCTAAGATATTTTACTTTTCATCAGATTTGTCAAATGTTTGTTTGAATGTTTGTTCCCTACTCACAGCAGTGGCTCTTGTGGCTCATGTCAGTCCAGGTGCCGTTGGGCAGACACTTCCTGACCTTTGGACCCACAATGATCCGGTTTCCTCTGCAGATGTACTCAATCTCATAGTCCACCGGCAGCACCTGCACACTGCGGATCTGCACGCAACGCAAGAGTAGATGTTATAGAGCAGAATCAGAATTAGTAAGTCACAAACTAGGAATTTGTTAGGCAAGTCAATAAAATAATAAATAATAACTTTGCATAAAATGTTGTAATAATATAACAATAATGTAGATGTTTTAGTCAGGGTTTGTCACTCTCACATGACACATAAAAGTCATTTCAAAATTATTTTTATCATTTCATTCAAAAACTGTACAAATGGGGAGAAGGTACATGCACCCGAGAGTTGGTGTACTCAACTTCTAGAAATCCTGTTCACTGTTATCATTAGGTAGGTTTCTGTTATACAATACTCTAAGGTAAAACAGAAAATCATAAGAATGGAAATGCTTAAAAGCATTATGCAATTTGACAAAAACTATGCAAATATTTCAAAGTGCTATTGTTTGTAGCTGCCTATAGCCTAATGCTGATATTGCTGTGTTGCCCGCACTGATTTTAGGAATAACACTAGGACTGCCAGAATTATAAAACTTCTAGAACTCATAGAGCTGTCATTTTGACTGCCCCCATTGAAACCAATGGAATTCTGCCAAGACTGGAGAGCTAAGACTGGTGTAAAAACTTAAAACACACCAAAAACAGTTTGTTAAAAGGCCGCGTTATGAAGACCAAGAAATTACATGAGCTGTTGAAACAATAAATAAATGAATACATAAATAAATGTCACAATCTTCATATTATTATTAAGATAACGCTACAAATTATGAGATTTAATAAATGTATATTATTGTTATACAATGTTTTTTGGTTCAAAACAACAAACTAAATAATAAAGCTTTATTATTTTCTGTCTGCATTGATTTATTTTCTTATTCATTCAAAGGTTAAGATTAAAATATATATATTATTATTTAACTGCAGTTTTTCTAACTAATAACTAATAACTCTTCATTTATTTCCTTTTTTAATGATGTTCTGTTTTATTATTTCACAACGCATTATTCCCTCGTGTCTTGCAAAGAAATGCCAATGAAGGGGGCGGGCCACAGCGAGACGAAAGCAATCGCCTCGTGCAGACTGACCCAGCTAAACCCAGAAGTCAAACAGTGATGCCATTACCGCGGTGCCATCCTGCTGCGTGAAGCTGTTTGTCCCGTGGCTGTCGAGGGAATAGTCACTTCTACTATAAGGCCTGGAAGAGCGTGTTGTGTGTTCGGCTGTTTCAATAACATTGTGAAAATACAAGCCTGGAATAGAACCGTGTGTGAACTTCTTAAACCTTTACAACATACTGACTGTCCTGTACGGACTGCAGAGAGCTCCTGGTCCAGCTGAGGAACAAGATGTGTGTCTGAAGTGGATGAAATATATAAACCTTCCATCCATCCATCCATCCATTTTCTACCCTTTAATCCATTTCTGGGTCAGGGGGGTGGCAATCTGAGATGCCACCCAAGTCTCATAGCACCAGCCCCTCACTGACCCTCTGCAGGTGGTGAGTCCACAGGAGGACGGCTGCTCTCTGAGAGTGAGCATAGCCTTGATCTTTCAGTGGGGGCTTTTGGGCAAAGTGGGGTTAAGTGTCTTGCCCAAGGACACAACGACAGCAGTCATCAGTGGGAGTCAGTCATATATATATATAAATAAACATATATATAAACCTGGATTACTTTAAAGCTGCACTAACTGACTTTATTTTCGTATTCATTACGAAAATGCAATCCATATCCATGCAGTGCATTGGAATATACGTCCTTTTGAAGAATAAGTAGCGCAGGTTTGTGCTGGCGTGACATTATATTTTAGATCGAGTTTTGGTAAAACAAGGAAGAGAATCTGTTTCGGGTCTCAGATTGTGACCAATCACAGCGGACCACTGGCCCCCGCTTTCGTGAGAAAAGCTACAGGTCTCTTGTTAGCACCGACAGCTGAGTTAGCACAACAATCGGCAGAGGATAACCTGAAACTTCCTGTGTCTTCGTTACTGCTTACACAGCGAAACATTCATCCAAAAGAAAGTCTTGTCCTCTCCGCATTTCCAAGTTCTGTCATTCTGTGGTCACGGCATCCACGTGCAAAAGTGCACTATTGTTCCATATTGTGAGAAGCTAGCTCCGAAGCTAACAACAGCACAGAGCACAGGCTGCGGGGGAGGGGGGTAGTGGGGGGCGAAAGCTCCATGGGTGCACACACGCAGGAGCAGCAGGTTTTACAGTGATTCTGGACATTTTGTTTTTTCTTTCATAAAGTCTGGCGTCTGACCAGCGCACAGAGACCATGAAGACAAACACATGCATGTGATTTGTGTTGCTCTACATCAGTCCTCTGGCCCGTACTGTCCTCTACACTGCTCCATAGACTACACAGGGAGAGCATCAGAAGCCGCGGACCTGCGCGCACGGCCTGTGTAGATACACCCACATAATGTTACGCGCATATGCGCGCAGTCAACACTTACGCGCTTTTAACGCCCACTGTGGAAATTTGCTGTAAAAAGTAACAGCTACATTTTCTAGCATCGTTAGCTTGTTAGCCAGATACAAAAACTCTGACATTGCTCTTGACAGGACCAGTAATGCACTTTCTGTATATGTGCACAGCGCCGCAAATGGCAACGTGGCAAGCTTCTGCCGAAACAATTTCCAAGTGGTAATTTTGTTACTTACGTGGCAATAAAAAAATATTCTGATTCTGATTTACTTCATGTTAGTCCTTGTTTACATTGGATTTCACGTTTGCTAAAAAAAAAAGCTTGTGGGACTCTTTCTGGAATTTCCCAGATTATTATAAATTAGCTAACTGTTAATTGTAATACATAGTAATGCTTTAAGACAAGGATTTACACATACAATAATAGCGCATTCGTTAAATAAACTCACCATACTTTCAATAATTAATTAATTAATTCTTATTTTACGTGGGGGTCACAAGTTGACAGTTCTGGCTTCACATCCCACAAGATCATCCTTATTAATAAAACCTTAAAATCCTTACTACATTACCAATGTATTTTTCTTCAATTCCAGGTGTGTGGGAAACATTTTCCTGATGGACAATCCAAATGAGAAAATCATTATCCTGTGTTGCATATAGGTTATGATTGTTCTGTAAGTATATAATGATTAGGGATGTACCGAATCCAGGATTCGGTTTCGGATTTGGCCGAATATTGGCTTTTTTGACAGGGTTCGGTTTCGGGCCGAACTTTATAATTTTTCCCCACCGAACCGAACCCTGCGCTCACACTTTGCGCGCTGTGGCTGCTAATAGATCCATGTATGGCTGCTAGATTGGTTCCGGAAACCAGATTCGTCCGGAAGTTCAGTTTGCGGATGTCAAATAGTGTAAATAAACATGTAAACAGTTTGTGTTGTTATATACAGATTATATTATTGATATGTGCTCATATGTATTGAGGTTTATTACAAGAAATAGCAGGAAAAAAGTTCAGAGAAAAAAATACTTCTAGTAGCCGGCAGCTAGCGCCCAGATGCACACAGGTGTATGTGCTGGCACTTTCTGGGAACTTTTGCGAGTCCTGCTGACTTTTTGCCACAACCACTTGATATTAGGGATGTACCGAATCCAAATTTTTGGGGTTCGGACAAATACCGAATCCACTGGTCAAGATTCTGCCGAATCCAAAACCGAATACCGAATCCTACTCCATCCTCAGTCATTAATGTTTCATACACAAATGTTTTAACAGCAGCAATGTTGTGTACTGTTTAGGGTCCTTACCACCACAAGACAAATCGGCATTGCAAATTGGACATGAAGCTCGACTAGAATCACCTTTTTTGGACTGAAAGTATTGGCAAACAACACTTTTTCTGCTCACAAGTTCCATTTTCACTTGCCGCGCAGCTAGCGCCCAGATGCATTCAAAGGCACAAGGAAATGAGGCTAACACATAGACAGTTTTAATTCTTGATTAGATTCACTGTCCTTTACTTGTTTAATCCTCATACACCTGTCATGTGTATCCCTGTGTTGTATTTCTGAAATAATTATTCGGAATAAAATGGTCTAAACTGTCTATGTTTCCCATATTTCCGTGTGCCTTTGAACGCATCTGGGCACTAGCTGCCGGCTACTAAATGTATATATTTTTTTTTATTCAGACCTCCTCTCTGTGGGCCAGACCTCCTTACTGTGGGTAATACCTCACACTGTGGGGAATGCATTGGTCTAACTTTCTGTAGCCCCGCCCCCTTCATTTGCATTGCTTTATAATACACAAGAATAATGTGTCGTGAAATAATTAAACAGAACATCAATAAAAATAAAATATGAAGAAAATACATACATGGGGAAAGAAAAACATGAGATTTTATTATAATATATATGTATTAAATCTCATGATTTGTTGTGTTATCTTAATAATAATTGGCAGAATGTGACATTTATTTATTTCTTCATCTATTCATAATTTTGACAGTTTTGGTCCTCCATATAAGTACACTTCCAAAACCAAGAGCCGTCAAATTAACTGCTCTGTGGCTTCTTGTGTTACAAGCACTTTACTTTATGAAGGGTGCAGCGGTGCTCACCTGCTCCTGGGTCAGGCCTCTGTAGCGGATGCCTCCTTCTCTGGGGGGACGGATGATGGAACAGCCTGCAAGGTAAAACATGCTCAGGGTGACTGACAAGGGAAATATGGGGGCCAAATATAATTCAACTGCTGCCTTGTCTAGAGAATCTCCTTCATATCTTGATCTATAATTCTTTTTTTATCCATTTCTTTCTTATGCAATGTTTTTATGTGAGCTTTGAATATATGGCTTTAATTCATTTTCTACCCCTTTATTAATCCATGTCTGGGTCAGGGGGGTGATAATCAGAGCTGCCACCCGATGCTTATAGATACAACCTTGGTCTTTCAGCGGGGCTTTGGGTTAAGTGTTCTAACGACAGCAGACACAAGTGGGAACAGTTGGATTTGGTCTCAAGGGTGGATCGAACCCACAATAATCAGGTCCAAAGACTATCACCAAAAGGCACTACATTCATTAGTAGTAGTAGTAATCTTTTATTTATATACCGCCTTTTCACTGCACATCGGAGTCTCAAAGTGGTTTACAATTGATATTTTTGGGCATTTGTCCTCTCACTCCACACAGAGATGGGAGCGGAGTCACCAGTATAGGAGGCGCATGCCAGACCTATCACACCAGACTGATTGAACATGCAGCCTCCACCTGTAATCATGATTAAGATTGTATCATAAAGAGACTAGCTGAACAAAATCAAACCCACTATTTTATTATCTTAGAATTCAAAATTATTTTAATGGGTTGAACATCATTTTCCATTAATTTATCTTGTCATTTTTCTTGACTTTGGCTAAAGACTTAATTTAAACATATTTTGAATTGTTTACATACTAAGGCTGATCATGTTTGTCCACTGACCAGTTTGAAAAAGGCATCTGGCAACATTATACCCACATATTCTATAGGGAAATTAGTGAAAAACCAGAATTTAACTAGTGGAAAAGGTGGATTTAGAGTGAATAAATACATTTCTTGAACTTCACGTGATGAACAAGAGCACGTGTCGTTTTGTTTTGCATTGTTAGCATTTTTAGCATAGCAGCGCTACTGCTAAAAAAAATTATTTGCACACATACTATCAAGCATAAACACACAAAAACAAATATACACACACACACACAGACACATTAGTGCAGCACAAACCACAGACAGGTCCTTGTTGTTATCAGCAGCAAATGCAGTCAGATTATGAAGTAAACGCTGCAAGAGCTCGAAGCTATAGTTCACAAGTGCAGCAGCCATTTTGAGATTTATAAAAGATAGGATAAACATTTTAAAAAATTATAATAATACAGTGAACTAAATTTTACATTTAATATGTGGAATGTATTTCTCTTTTCATCATAAACATACATTAATGATGAATATTTCATATTTTAGAATGTAACAATATTTGTAAAGAACAGGGGTCTAAGTCTTTTGCATGGAGGGCCTAGCGTCTCACATCTTAATATTTACAGTCTATGATTTTAAGACGAGTTTCATCCTTGTACACCATGGATCTATTATCCACCCTCACTCAGCCAATCATTTCAGTATGTAAAATATGATTTATTTTGTTTAGCATGTTGGGGCAAACATTATAATTATAAAACAACAAAACGTTGTTAACCTCCTTAAATCATCATTGGGTTTGACTAAAGCGGAGCTATCAGTCACGGTGTTACTGTGGCTCCGCAAATTTGTTCGATTATTGAAGTCATCAGATGGTTATTAATAATCTGATGAGCTAACAAAAATGGAGTGAGGTTGTACCTGTGACGTTAGAACAAATAGTAGGGTGACAACTGTGTTGTGAGAGCACGATCGGACTAACAGAGCCGGAGCAGTCCGAGAACTAGCCACCGGCTAACAACACAGCTAAACAGCTGACGACGCAGCATCTATCTCTGTCCCAAAGTCCCTACAAATAAGCCAACGATGGGGGAAGCTGAAAGTCTGAAGTCTCCAAGGAAGTGGTTACGATGAGGAATGAGCAGAAGATGATAATAGAATTGGTGGCATCTCTGAAGATGCGACTCCATGAAAAGGATAAAATAATCTCACACCTGGAGAACAGACTGGAGGACCTTGAGCAGTACACCAGGAGGAACGACGTCATCGTGACCGGGCCTGGGTTGTACCCAGGTCCTATGCCAGGGCTGTGAGTGTAACGGGTCTGATTTTCTCCGCTCTGCGTTGTGTTTACTTGATTGTGTGGTGCGGAGGAACACACGAGAGACAAGCTTACGAGGCGTTCTTTTATCTGGTCAATAAGAAACAAAAACAATGAACATGTGCCTCTGCATCACTCACAGCCCAAACTCTTCCCTGACACGGGTTTTCAAAGGGCAATATACATACCTGGTCAATAAAAAACAAAAACAATGAACATGTGCCTCTGCATCACTCACAGCCCAAACTAAAAAGACATACAAAACGTAAATGACAACAAAATTACAATTAAAATGGACATTTTGAGACATAAAAAACATAAAGTAACTGACCTCTTCCCTGACACGGGTTTTCAAAGGGAAGAGGCAGCGGGAAAACCCCGAATTTATAGTGGGGGAACGGGGGACACACGAAGAAGAAATATAAACACGGGAGTGGCTGGAGGACCAAAGCTGCACAACGAATCAAAGACCAGGACAAAAAACAATTATAAAAATAATAAAACTTGTAATAAAAATACAGTAATAACGGTGTAATTCACATAACACTTACAAATTTAAAAAAATACACTGTAAAGTTTTGAGAGAGGTCACTAAAATTTACTTTGCTACATGAGCAGAGATAGCGTGGAGGAATCTGCAGACCAGGATGTCATCTCTAGCTCAACAGAGATGCAAGTGGCATCATTCCTGTGGTCCAAGGGGATCGAGTTAAACTGCAGCGCGATTGAGGCATATCACCCGTTATCCAGGAGGAAGACCGGTGATACAGTTAACAACCCGGCCATCATTATCAGGATAAGGATAAGGCTGCGCTCCTTAAGCAAGGACACAAGCTGAAGGGCTCCAATGTGTACATAAACGAACACCTTACAAAACAGAACGCTGATTTGGCACGGAAAGCTCGAGATTTAAGGAGGCAAAGCAGAATCCAATGCACCTGGACAAATAACTGTAAAGTTTTCATCAAGTTGAACGGAGCTTCACTAGAGAAGGCGAAAGTGCTGTTGATAAGGAAAATGGAGGACTTGCATTTTTCTTGATAAGGAAAATGTTGATAAGGAAAATGGAGGACTAGCAAGATGGCGCCGTGTCAGGGCGCCGCAGTGAACGCTCTGGTGCGCACAATCTGTGTTTTGTTGTTTTTCGTCTGGGATTCACTTGCCACAGTGAAATATGATCGGCAAACACTTCTGCACATTCGGGATCACGCGGGTGACGGGTCACTCGTTTTACCTGAACTGAGGTGCACAAACTTCCTCGAGTGTCCCACTCGAGAGGCTGGTGGAGCACGGCAGGCGGGCCGCGGCGGTGGCCGCCAACAGAGCGAGGGGACTGGGCGTCTCCGCGTTCTCTCCGCGGTGTGGAGCTGGGCACCTCGAGTCGGCGAAGGAGGCGCAGACACCGGGGAAGGCGAGGCGGTCTGCTCGTTCGTAGCCGCTCCTCCAGGGCCCCTTTGCCCTCCATCTACCTGGCCAACGTCCAGTCTCTGCCCAACAAGACGGACGAGCTCCTGTGTCGGGTCCAGAGCCAGCGCGAGGCCCGGGACTGCGCTGTGTTCTGCCTCAGCGAGACGTGGCTCCACTCGAACGTCCCGGACTCTGCTGTTCAGCCCCCGGGATTCACCGCTCACCGCGCGGACAGAGTGAAGGAGACCACGGGCAAGGCCAGAGGCGGAGGTGTGTGCTTTTTAATTAATCAGCGCTGGTGCACGGACACTCGTATCGTGAACCAAACATGTAGTGCCAATCTGGAATGCCTGGTCTTGAGCTGCCGCCCTTTTTATCTTCCCCGTGAGTTTTCAGTGATATTTTTATGTGCTGTTTACATTCACCCACGTGCGGATTACAAAGTAGCCCTACAGGATCTGAGCGAGATCCTTCACAAACATGAGTCTGCTCATCCTAACGCAGTCATCATTGTTGCTGGGGATTTCAATAAATGTAATTTAAAGTCTGTACTCCCGAACTTTTACCAAAACGTGACTCAAGCTACAAGAGGAGCACATGTTCTGGATCACTGCTACAGTAACGTGAAGGGAGCTTACAGGTCCAGTCTCAGACCTCCTTTTGGAAAGTCTGACCACTCCTCTGTTCTCCTTCTTCCTTCGTATACTCAGAGGAGCAGGGAACATAAACCAACCTCTCGCACTGTGCAGTGTTGGTCTGAGGAGGCTAGCATGAAGCTACAAGGTTGTTTTGATGCTACGGACTGGTCTGTGTTTCAGTCAGAGGACGTCAATGAATTCTGTGACGCTGTGTCTGGATACATACGCTTCTGTATTGACTGTTGTGTCCCACAGAAGGTCATTAAAGAACATTTTAGTCAAAACCCTTGGATGAACGCGGAAGTGAAACTGAAACTTCATGAGCGTGCGTTGGCGTTTCAATCAAATGATACAGTTGCTTATAAGCTATCCTGTTACTCATTGAAACGTTCTATTAAATCTGCAAAGCGCAGTTACGGGGACAGGTTAAAGAGTTATTTTGAGGAAGATGACCCTCGCCGCATGTGGAACGGTATTAAAGCCATCACATCGTGGAAACCTAGTGCTGGGAAAATTGCATCTGTCGGCCAAGCTCTGCCAAACGAGCTGAACACGTTCTACTGTCGCTTTGAATCTGCTGATGCCTGTCCTACTGTATTCCCTGATTGTTTCAATCAAGGTCCCTTCACCGTGACTCAGGAGGAAGTCAGGCGTGTCTTGTCCAGGACCACAGTCCGGAAAGCCCCAGGCCCGGACGGCATCCCTCCTCGTGTCCTGAAACTGTGCTCTGAGCAACTTGCCCCTGTGCTAACAGACATTTTCAACCTGTCGCTAAGGAACTGTACTGTGCCGAACTGCTTTAAAGAGTCGACCATCATTCCAGTTCCTAAGAAAACTCCTGTGACATGCCTGAATGACTATCGTCCTGTGGCCCTCAC